AGAGTGATGGAAGGGCTGTTTATGTAACATCAAACTATGCAGATATATCATGTGTCTAATGCAGTGGTTCTCAACCTGTGGGTCGGGACCCCATTTGGGGTCGAATGACCATTTCACGGGGGTCACCGAACCATGCTGTCCGCCATTTTTTTCCCTTTTCCCTAGCTGTCCTACTCCCTCTTATTGGTGGCCACACCCACTTGGGGGTCACCACAACATGGGGAACTGTATTATGGGGTCACGGCATTAGAAAGGTTGAGAATCACTGGTCTAATGGATACATTTAGGTATAGTGAAGTTTTATTTATTTGTGCTTTAGAACAGGGCTTTTCAACCTTTTCACCCATTGTACCACTTTTAGAATATGGCAATATCCGAGTACCACCAGTCGCCTAGCAAGATGTCAAAAACGTGATGACCCCCCCCCCAAAAAAGGAAAAAAGTGATAAAGTACAGGTAGTTCTCGACTTACAATAGTTTGCTTAGTGACTGTTCGAAGTTACAATGGCACTGAAAAAGCCACAGCCGAGCAAGACACCTGCCTGCCCACCTGGCAGCGCTCTTCCTCCTGTTGAGGTTTTCATTGTGAGCATTTCTATTGAGGGTTGGCAGTGGGGGTGGGATGGGGGGTGTTTGGTTTTTATTCCCATCTGCTGGGTTGTGGCAGGTTTTGGTCACTTCACATGACCCTGGGACACTGACCGTCATAAATATGAATCAATTGCCAAGCATCTGAATAAATCACAAGACCCTGGAGATGCTGCAACATTCCAGCTGATCGGCGCTTCTGGGCTCAGTAGAAGTGCCAGGATCAGCACGGAGCTCCAACTGGAGCCTGGCACTGATCCTGGTGCTTCCACTGAGCCCTGACAGCCCCGAAGAAGCACTGATCCTGTCGCTTCCGCTGAGCCCTTACAGCCCTGCAGCTCCAGCCATCTCTTGCTCAGGCTTGTGTGGTGCTGCCACCGGTTCAGTTCATTCCTCTCTCCCACTACCACTTTTTTAGGATGATCGCATACCACCCGCCAATGTACCACACGTGGTACCCGTACCACTGGTTGAAAAGCCCTGCTTTAGTATGTCATGAGCGCAATTGCTATAGCTTTTTACTTGATGTATAAATTAGCATATTGTACTAAACGCCGCATGGTGGGCCAACAAATAATTCAGGTGAAATTATCTTCCAGATGAGCAGCCTTACCAACTTGCTGGAGGGGAATCCTACTAAAGATTGATAGATTTTGTTTTGTACCACAGGGAATAATCACATTTGTTATATTGAGATCTGTGTGCATGATACAAGTTTCTTTCACCCTGATCATTGGTTGTACTCTCCAGAGGTGATCTAAATATAGCTCCACTATTATTTTATAAAGTGCTAGTAGAAAATACCAAGAGACAATGGGATCTGGATTTTATAAGGCCTAATAAGAAAATACATTTGAGAAAAACAAAGGAGTAGACTTCCTCACAGATCTTCAGTCTAGTCTTGTAGCCCCGTGTCACAGGAAACATTTTCATTCATTCATAATTCAAATCTGTTGGGAGTAGAATATATTTCAGAGTGACTAAAGGAGTAGGAAAGCAAGCCATAATTATGAGCGGCCGGCCCTTGCAGGAGTCACATCCAACCTCTGCTGAGCCAGCACATCTTGCTTCCAGAGAGGAATGAGTGGGAAGGCGAGATGGACACCCCAGCCGCAGATCACCTTCCTGGAGAATCAGACTTGGAGAAAACGATGTCAAAGATCTCCTTATAATGTTCAACAAAATGTACTTCAAGTCCTTCTCTGATGAATTCAGCAAGGTCATAGTAATCTTTTTTGTTTTCTGATGGGAAGATGATACAGGAGACTCCAGCTCTCTTGGCCTGGGAGAAAAGGGAAAGTGGTCAGTACACACCGAGGAACCACCTCTTCCCCCTGGCCTCAGGTCTCTGCCCTCCCATGGTCAGGCCCTGTGCTGTATTCTTAATCCCGAGACCAGATAACAGCAAATGCTGCTTTATTGTAATGTACAATCCCTTAAGTCAGTATTTCCCAAACTTGACAATTTTAAGGCATGAGGACTTCAACTCCCAGAATTCCACAGCCAGCAACGCTGGCTGTGGAATTCTGGGAGTTGAAGTCCACATGCCTTAAAATTGTCAAGTTTGGGAAACACTGCCTTAAGTTATCTTGGTAGTTCAACTGTCAATACTTAAACTAAATTGTACCCTACTGTTCATGATAAAAGGGGAAAGAAAAAAAAAAGGACTGAATAGCTCGTAGCTAGAAGCTGCCATCAGATGGATCACTGATGGTTTTTATCCGGATGATAATTTATTCTTACACAGCCTCCGAATAACCCAGTTCTCCAGTGCTCTGTCCTTCCTTGACCTTGATTGTAGGCCATAATGCTCATAGAAACTGAGTATTTTTAACAAGTAAAATCCAAGTGAGCCCACTCAGCCCTTATAAATCACCTTTGAAAACTGAAAAAATGTCCTAAAGCAGGGGTCCTCAACCTTGGCAACTTTCAGACTTGTGGACTTCAACTCCCAGAATTCCTCAGCCAGCTTTTCTAAGTACACAGTTAAAAGTCCTTGCTGGATCAGATAAGAGCTATGATCATCTCATCCACCGTAGATACATGGGGGGCCCAACTGAAATCTGATACCTCCCTAAGCAAGGATCTTGTTCTGATCCAAATCTCTGGCAATAGAACAGTGTTTCCCAAACTTGACAATTTTAAGGCACGAGGACTTCAACTTCCAGAATTCCACAGCCAGCAACGCTGGCTGTGGAATTCTGGGAGTTGAAGTCCACGTGCCTTAAAATTGTCAAGTTTGGGAAACACTGCAATAGAAGACCACCCACAATGGGATATAACAGATGGAAGGGATTAGCTCGTTTCCGATGTTATTGATTTACTGCTGCTTGGAAATCTGAATGCCATATAACCCACTTGGATAAAGTGTGGAAACAGATACTGTATGTAAACTAGAATAGGGACGTCTCCAAGTTTTCTTGAACCAACTACTAGCAGTGGAAGGACTCTGCTCTTTCCACTTACGGCAATGGTCTTCTCCTTGATGCCTCCCACAGGGAGAATCTTCCCCGTCAATGACACTTCCCCAGTCATGGCTACATTTTGCCTCACAGGCTGGTTTAACGCCAACGACAATAAGGCAGTTACAATTGTGCAGCCGGCACTGGGCCCATCTTTTGGGGTGGCACCCTGCGAATGGAAAGACACAGACAACTTGTTGGTTGACTGAAGACAACAATCAACTTTGCAACCGACTCCAAAGGGAAGCCACACAGGCACACAATTGCCCCATGCCAACGAGGAGCCAATCTCTAGCCAAAAAGGTTTGCATGTGGCCAAACCGTCAAAGGAGCGGAGTGTGAATTTTTTTTTTTTTAAATTGAGGCAAGACAACTCATTCCCAATCAGCATAGTATTAACTAGGATTCTAGAAATTAAAGTCTAACTGGGGGGGGGGTGTACCAAGGAAGGAACAATTTACTGAAGTGCCCTTTGAAAACTAAATTGATTTATCTTTCATTGCATTGCATTGCAACTGCTTTTGGTGTGCTTTCCTAGATAAAGGGAAAGCAGCACAAACACCAATTACTTACTCAACAGTATAAAGATAACCTTTGTAAACGTTCTCCCCCCATACCTAAGTAGTTACCTTAAGAGAATAATCAATTCAGATAAAAGATCTATGGACAACATACATTAAAGAAACCCAATCAAATAAAACATCAAAAAAGGGCTTATCTGCAAACTTCAACTGCAGTTTAGCACATTTTTGATCTACCCGTAGACCAGGGGTCTGCAACCTTGACGACTTTAAGACTTGTGGACTTCAGCTATGCTGGCTGAGGAATTCTGGGAGCTGAAGTCCACAAGTCTTAAAGTTATCAAGGTTGCAGACCCCTGCCTTAGACCCTTCTATCTATTCCTCCCTGACTCTCCATTTTTATATCATAAATTCTGCTCCAGCTTCCCTGGATTCTAGCTTCTTTTTTTCTCAGTTGTAACTTCACTCCTGAGTTTGTTTCCCCAACATTGTTAACTTGCTCTCTCTACTTTTTCTATCCTATTATGCCTATATACTTTTCCTCAACCTGGAGGTATTTTTAACCTGATCATCTGATTTCAGCATGTTCAAAAGATGAAACTATTAATCTACACCACAAAGGTTTTTTTATGTTCCAGGTTAACAGTTCTTAGCAATGTGTTTATAAAGTTCTTTTGACATAAATGCACATAAATGCAAATGATCTGTGGACCAAATTAAATTGGTTAAGCCTTTAGAAGATGCCACAAACCAAAGGAACAATGCCGCCTTCTTTTATTTATTGTTCTGTTTTCTGCTTTCCATCACACTCCCAAGACTACTTCTCCCAAAGATATTTATTATTTATTGGGGAGACAGAGGGAGAGGGGCAATCTGGCAGGAATGGAGGATTATAGAAAATAAACTGTCACCTTTGTTAAGAATAATTATGCATTCTGTGATCAGGTCAAAACTTGAAGAGAGAGCAAGCAAAGTTTCTTAATACAAATAAATATTTTGGAACAGACACGTGAAATCCGAAGTATAGAGGAAGTGTCGTTGTGCTGAAAGAACACGGAACCTTACAGTAAAGTAAAAGGTCCTGAGACCTCTACTGGTAGGCAGATGAATAACAGCTATGCAAAGCCGCATGGGGGAGAAATGGGAAGGCTTATGCAGATTTCAAACCAATCACAGTCAGAATACTCATATAGGCATACCAGAAATACATACAGATAAAAAGATTTCAAAATTTCTGATATTATATTTTATAACAGATGGCCACTTCCTTGGTTAATGAAAAGAAGAACATTCACAGAATAAATCTGATAAGATTACAAACAATATCTATTGTAAGACTGGGTGAAAAGCTCAGCAGCTTGAATTTACTCACTGTTACAACAACATTGCTTTGAAAAGGTGGGCCTTTGCCTATGGCCACCCCTACTTTATCGCTTCTCGGCCTTTTGGCTAAGATCAAGTGTAGTATCTGTTCTTATCAGTTTAATATCTGATATGTTCTCTATCTGAGAACTAAATATTAAATGGATTTTTGGAACTGGGAGATGGGCTGAGAGCTTGCTCTATCCACTCCAAGCATCAACCTGGTATTGCAGTACCTCCAGGAATGGTGCACCTCCCCCATGGGGGGAATATTGCTGTTCAAAAAATAGAATATAAGTTTATGGTTAAGATATTACCATTAAAGGTTGTAGAATTATATACGGGGATACACCCAGCCATTAAGTCTTTATGCAGCCAGCCCAAGACAGCTCACTGGATGTAAGGGATGTTAACTATGTAATCCTTCCATCCCAGTTCATAAGATTTTTGTTTTGTGGACTACCATAAAAACAGGTTTTATAAAATATTAACTCTTCCACCCCAATTCATAGATTCTCGTTTTGTTTTGTGTAATACGATAAAAACAGATTTTACAAAATACTATCTAAAGTCCCACGATTGTTATTTTGAGAAGATTCCAGGAATCCTGAAGATATTTCCGGGAATCTTATTTCCCAAAAGCCTCCTGCTGCCCCCCCCCCCAACCCCTCTCCATCTCAGGAATAGCAAGAACAGTAAGAAAACTTCACTGGGTTGTGCAAATGATGGTGAGGTTTATGTAGTGTGAAGGCCTCTGGAATCATCCTAAATATGATACATGAATACCTTGCGAATCTTTTTGGGTCTTTTTATAAATATTCTCAAGGCAGATCTCTCTCCCAGTAAAGCATTACGCTTGGTGCTTTACCTAAGAGGATTTCTGTCATCCAAAAGTAACATTCTTGCCGGAACCTATGAAAATTCTTTCCCTTAATAAGCTACAGGAGAAAACTGATGGTTTGAAGCAAGTCTAGTTCCCTGTGTTCCAGCACGATTCTAAGAAAAGTTGCAATAACAACAATTTCTCAGGTTCCAAACAGCCTAAGGGGAAAAAAAAGTTCAGTGGGTATTTTTAAGATCGGAGTCTGTAAGTGTAAATGAACAAAATGTATTAACTTCATTACTGAGAAAAGCATAAGGAAACAAGTTTCCATCCACATCCAAATGCTAGGACCTAAAGACAATACTGGCGAGTTCCTTGCCTGTTTTAATACAAATGTATTGCTATGAAACTTCAGAATCTATTCAGGAAACAGGTGCATCCCAAGTGCCTGTAAGAGAAAATCTAGACACAAAGTAGGCATAAGCATGATTAAAACAGAACTAGTTTGGTGTGATTTTAGGCCTGAAACCTGAAACTAGCTTTAGGCAAAAGTATGAGTCCTGTTTTAGGAACGAAACCAGCTGGGTGTCTCTGAGCCAGTCCTTCTCTCTCAGCCCTGGGAAGAAGGCAAGGGAGAACCACTTCTGAAAATGTGCCACCCCTGACTTGAAGGCAACCACCACCCCCCCAAAAAAAAACCTTAAAGAAAAAAATCTACCATCTCTGTGTAGGGGGGAGGGGAACAAACGACTTGCTCAGTATCAACAAACCCTGAATGTTGTGCAGTTGGGAATGGAGTTCAGCACTGTCAGGGTCCACCATAAATCCCATTTCACTATGAAATGCACATTATGCTAAATACAGAACGAAATAGAAAGGTTGTGATGTGCTGAGTACCTCTGGCACATGTACATGGATGTGGGAGGTCATCAAGAAGTCATTGGTGGGCATCTTCTCCATCAGGAAAGCCCGGGCAAACGTGTAGGCAATTTTGGCACTCTCCTTCATTACATCCCCCAGTTGACCTGTCATTTCAAGAGTCCCGTCTTTGCTCTCCTTTTCTTTCGGACGCCGGAGAGAGGTCTCTATGAACAAGGTTGAGCCACCTGAGGAGAAAAGACAAACAACGCATGAAATCCATTCTGGACTCAACTCTACCACCTAGTAAGCAAACTATTCTTGCCTATAATCCAATTCACTAGCTTCATCGTATGTCTTGTAACTAAAGGAAAAGAAAACTTGATTTATAATGTGTTCCCCCCACTATGGCATGATCTAACAAATCAAAATTAAGACGCTGGAAGGAAGCAACTAAGGGGTAATGGTTAGGAAAGGGTGGTGGCAATCTACCAGGAAGTTCTTCAAACAGGCCTCAATACAGCCTTCTTCTAACTTCATGACTTAGGAGACAGGCTATAGCATAAATTTACTGTATTAAAGTACCGTGAATCTATACAGGTATTGACTTATGACTGGTTGCTTAGCAACCATTCAAAATTACAACAGACCCTCCCAAAAAAAGGTACTTACGACCTAGATTCAAATTTACAGCCTTTTGCAGCAGCCCATGGGTCACGTAACTAGCATTTACTTTTGGTTTCTGGCCACAAATGCCGCATTGCAAACAATGGCTTCACTTAACGATTGAAGCAAAAAAACCCAAAATAAAACATAAAATTGGGTTGCTCACATGGTGACCCACTTAACAACCGTCATGACTTGTGACCGTCATTGCGGACTCAATTACAGTTGTAAGTTGAGGACCACCTCTACCCTTCTGAATCCCATCTCCTATCCACTCTGTTCTTCATGAGCCTGAGTTTCCTCAGAAAGTACCCAAACTGCGGCTGCTCACCATTTTGTGTCAACAAATTCCATAATATTTGTTTATTTATTTTTCTCCTCATCTGTCCTGACTCTCCAGGCATATCAGTTTCATTGGAGGACCCCGAGTGCTAGCATTGTAAAAAAAAAAAAAAAAAAATCTCCTGCTTTTTTCCACTTTCTATATATGCTTGTTTTCTGTAAGTCTATCATGCTTTATTCTGGCCTAAATTGCCTTTCGCAGCTCTGTCTCTCTCCCCCCGCCCCCCCGTTGTCCACCTTAAAAATCAGAAACAGAAGAAAGAAGCATTCAATTAAGGCTTGTGCCCAGGCTGAGATTTGAACCATCTGACGGCCGCCTCACCCATTGCTGTCCAGGCGAGGCCCATCACCACTCCGGGAGGAGTCACGTCATACATCCGATCAACCGTGAAAATGGGCTTCCCAACAAAGTCCTGGAGGTTTTCGGGGGTTACTTCGATTTTCTCCACTTCTCCACTGACAATTTTGTAGGCAGATTTCCGAAGTACCTGAGCCCGTGGGGGGCGGGGTGGTAGTGGAAAGAGGGAGGATTAAGCCCATGAGAAATTGCGCACACGTAGTCTCGATGCCTCTCCCTCAAAAGGTATGATTGCCTCACCTTCTCTATTTGTTTCTGGAGGTTCCTCACACCGCTTTCCCTGCAGTACTGCTTGATGAGGACCGTCAGCACATCACTCATGATGCTGGCCTTGCTTTCATCCAATCCGCAGAGCACACGAGCCTGAGGAACCAAATATCTCTGGCAGGAAAAGAAGAAGAAAAAACTAAGATATCAAATCCAAACTTCAGGGGGCAGAATGGAGTTCCTAATAGCAATAGCATTTATACTGCCCTCTGGTGGTTTACAGCCCTCTCTGGGCGGTTTACAATGTCAATCAGCGACACTGCTCCCCAACTATCTGGGTCCTCATTTTACCAACTTCAGAAGGATGGAAGGCTGAGTCAACTTTGAGCCCATTAGGATCAAACTCCAGACTGTGGGCAGAGTTAGCCTGCAATACTGCACTTTAACCACTCAGCCACCAGGGCTCCTCCTACTCAGTGTGCAAGTTTCAACAAGCCCACCCCAAACTAATTTATGGATCATCCTTGTAACTCTCCATTTTTAGGTATAAATATCTCCATCCTTCACCTGATGTTTGGATATTTTTTACTAATACAGAATAGAGCAAAATATTAACATATATTCTCCTGGATATACGATTGCAACGGACAAGACTGTACCAGGTTTCCTCTGCCCTGGTATGAATCAGGACTCACCCATGCCAAATTTAAATTGAACAAAAAGAGATGCAGCAGATAAAAATTAGTCTTAAAACCAAGTTCGTTATTACCTCTGCTATTGCCAGTTTCTCTTGGGAAACGTATCCTGAAATATTGATCATCTCCATCCTGTCTCTCAGGGGCTCTGGGATCGTTTCTGTCACATTGGCTGTGCAAATGAAAAGCACCTGGGTGGAAATGAAAGAAAAGAAGAGCAAGCCAATAAGATGGGTGTCTAGGGCAGGGGTAGGCAACCTTGGCTCTTTTATGACTTGTGGACTTCAACTCCCAGAATTCCTGAGCCAGCCATGCTGAGAGGAAAGGGAGAGCTGAGCCTCTCCAAGCTGAGCCATGCTGGCTCAGGAATTCTGGGAGTTGAAGTCCACGAGTCATAAAAGAGCCAAGGTTGGTCTAGGGCAGCGGTTCTCAACCTATTTGGGGTCGATCGACCCCATTTGGGGTCGATCGACCATTTTTCGGGGGTCGCCAAAGAAGGCGATCCGCCATTTTTTCCCCTCAGGGGGCGCCGCCGCGCATGTGCGCCGCGCATAGGGGCGCCGTCGCGCATGCGCAGAACGTTTGTGTGACGGGGGTCGCCGTCGCACAAACGTTGAGAACCGCTGATCTAGGGGAAAACTCTTCTGGTTCAGGCCAAAAGCCTTTCTGGCCCATGTCCCAAAGGTGCTTTTTTCAAGAGGCAAGTGGACTTTCTTGATTTTCTTGGAAGACGTTTTGCTTCTCATCCAAGAACCTTCTTCGGCTCTGACTGGATGGTGGGGAATGGAAGGATTTATATTCCTTGCAGACAGCTGGTCATTGGAATGGAATATCAATCCTTCCATTCCCCACCAATCCAGTGAGAGCTGAAGAAGCTTCTTGGATGTGAAGCGAAACATCTTCAAAGAAAAACAAAGAAAGCCCAGTTACCTCTTGAAAAAGCACCTTTGGGACAACCAGTTACCTGAATAACTGAGAACCTCCACAGACCAGCGGTTCTCAACCTGTGGGTCGGGACCCCATTTGGGGTCGATCGACCATTTCACGGGGGTCGCCAAGCAAGGCTGTCCGCCATTTTTTCCCCTTTTCCGGCGGGTGCCTTACCTCCCTTGGGTTGGGCCAGCTGGTGGCCCAGCCGGTGGTTGGCCTGCTCCGTTTCTGCCGCTTGCCAGCTACGCCGAGGCCGGCGCAGGGGGCGGCACCACGCATGCGCGGCACTCCCGGGCAGGGAAAGTCCTCGACTTATGACCGGTTGGGTAGTCCTCGACTTACGACTGGTTTAGTCCTCGACTTATGACCGGTTTAGTCC